AGTAAGGCATCACTAGGGTTATAACTATGTTATATTAAAAAAAAGTACAAGTCTACTTTTGTTAACAGTGAGAAAGTAACCACTGAAGTGCCAAATTAACATGGGGAAAAAGAATAAACGGAAATTCTACTAGCTGGGAAAAGAAGAAATAAAGAGCAAAATAAACAGAAATTATGAAATTACATTAAAGAAGAAAGAGCCACCAGTCTTCATATCAAACCAACTTGTGGATGGCAGCACTCAGTCCCTGGATGTCACTGTTGCGCTATGGGAAAAAACCCACTTTGAAGCCCACTCTGTGTCTAAACTTCTAATTTCATGAAATTATTTTCTTTTTTTAAAAGCTACTTTGAATTGAGGTTTTTGATTGAGTGGAAAACATCCTAATAAATACAGCTCATTCACATATGAGAACAATGAGGTTCAGAATGAGAACTTGAGAAAACCCCAGTAAAATTTTGGAATTTAGTAGACCTGAGAAAACCTTAGAAGTAACCAGTTTAGCAGACCCAAGGAAGCTAAATCCTAAGTCATCTGTGCTTGATTTATATCCTGTAATCTCCCAAAGTCTCAAGAGGTGGCACCACCAGATAAGGAGGTGGAGATGAAGTGGAGTAAGTTTAAGGTAAGGAGGGCTCGTTGAAGATCTTTTTGATGAAGCATTTTGTTCTTCACATTTTTTCCCTCCATCCAAGGCACCAGGCTCTCTCCTACCCCAAGAGAAGAGTGAGGGTTGTTCTCCAGAGAGTGAAACAGAGGCTGTGGCCTGGTGAAGTAGAGGATGGGGTGTGGGCTCACAGGCTCCCATCTCCCTTCACTTGGACAGCCAAGCTTTAATACCCCAAGGAGATCAGAAGAGTCTTATCTGGGGAGTCTGTCTAGCCCAGGAGGAAAGCCCCACAGAAGCCAGCAGTAGGGTGTCCTCCATGAAAGACCTGTCTGGATTACCTGGTAAGAAGTTGTCAGCCACCACCTACACACTCTTGGGTTTCACATTAGCCTGTTTAATGCTTTGTTCTTTTTTTTTTTCCCCAAGGATTTTATTTATTTGGGAGAGACAGAAGAGCGTATGTGAGTGGGGGGAGGAGCAGAGGGACAAACAGACTTCATGCTGAGTGTGGAGCCCCATGTGGGGCTTGATGTCACAACCCTAAGATCATGACCTGAACTGAAACCAAGAGTTGGAAGCCCTAATCAACTGATGTCTCAGTGCTTTATTCTTAAATATGAGCAGGCAACTAAGGTTCATCACACTTCTGAGCCACATTTGACCAGGAGAGGTCAAACAAATAAGACCACTGAGGGAGACAATGTACACTAGAGAAAAATATTTAAAAATAAACCTGTTGTTAATATCCTGAGAGAGACCAAGATTACAGTCATGACAAAGGCCAGGATTTCCTAAAAATGGAGTATCTAGTGAACAGAAAGTGACTCTTGATAATTAGAAATAATGACTTATCTAAAAGACTGGAAGATAGAGAACTTTTTTAGAAGATAGGTCAAAATGACAAAAATAGGAGAAGAGTTTAGAATATTAGAGAACCAGTTCAGGATATCTAACATCCAAATAATAGGAATTCCAGATGGAGAGAGGAGAGATTTCCCAGATCCGAAGGATGTGAATTTGGAGATTGGAAGGGCTCACTAGTGCCCCACATAGTACATGGAAAGGGACTCACTGCAAGAACATTGGGAACAAAGATCCCACACATTTCACAGGATGGAAAGCAGTTCACACTCAAGGGGACAAGAAGAAGAACTTTAGACTTCTCAGAAGCAGCATTAGAAGCTGGAAGACAATGGAACAATGACAATAATTCTGAAGGATAGTTTTAACCTAGATTTCCTTATTTAACCAAACTATATGAGCAAAGGTAAAATATCCAGACTTATGTAGTCTCAAGAATACTACCTCCCATTTACCTTTTCTTTGCAAGCTGCTGGAGAGGCCATGTGCCACCTAAATAAAGGAGTGAAACAGTGAGAAAGGCTAAGTTGGAAATAAGAGATGTGCTATAGGAGAGGAGAGAACAGGGCCCGGGATGCCATTGTGCAGCAGGCCGAGAGAGCAGCCTGTCCAGGTCTCAGGGTCTCACGACTCCAGGAGAGGTTGCTCCCAGATAATGCAATGATAGGGGATAACAGGAATTTAAACACTGAGAGAAAAAGACATTTGGGAGGAGAGGGTGGCTTTGAGACAGTGATAAGTACATAGAAGACTAAGCAAATGGGGAAAATGATTACTTCTAGGGGTGGGAAGAATACTGTATGGAAGAAAGGAAAGCTAATCATAGTTTATTATGTGGGTAAGAAATGGATGGCATTTCTTTTGTAATGATGCAGACATCGAATATTAATGTAACCAAAATGTCCAATAATCCACATTGGGAGAGAGGGGAATGACAAGGTGTGTGGTTTAGTAGGAAGGCCATAGTAAGTAAGTGGAAAAAGGCCATAGAGCTGGAAAATCAAGACCCAGCAAGGGAAGCTGTTTGTTTAGTGCTAGGAAGACAAATACTGAAAGAATCAGCTAAACAACTGAAGTGGCTGTCTTTGGGTAGGTGGAACTGGGAGGAAGGCAGCATGTATGTATGTGCCTTGTGCAAGTATGTGGGACTCGGAATTGTGTGCATGTTTCATTTTGAGAAAGATAAAATAAAAAAAAAACCACTTCAAAAGTTAAGACAAATAGTATGGAAGGTATAAAGTCAAGTTTATCAGCTGTTATAAAAATTATATTGAATGCAAATACTTTATTTTACTAAATGTAAATGGGCTGAATTCCATTGTTAAAGAACAGAGCCTGTCAGATTGGGTTATTCAACCATTTTGCTATAAGCACCTATTGCTCTTTATTCTAGGAAAGCATCTGATTGGGCTTTGTTGTTTCTCCTATTTGATCACATCTGTGGAACCGCTTGTCAAAGTTCTCTGCCTCCTCTACTCAGGGAATTAACATGTGACTCTGAGCTAGGCCATTAGGACACTGGAAATTTATTCTTGATCCTAGCAACATAAAGTCTAAAAATTTTATTCTTGATCATAGCAACATAAAGACTGAAAATAGTTGGGACTGATCCATCCCAGGTATAATACTATGAGGAGACAGTACATCTGTTCCTGCCACCTGGAGCCCCCAGCTTCCTGGTTCCTCTCCTTTCCAAGAAAACTAGAAGTTTTCCTGCTGGTTCTGTCTCATGAATTCCTTTTCTGTTTTAACCAGTCAGTCAATTTCAGTTGCTTTTAACGAACTCTATCTGATAAGATTAAACCTCAAATAAGATTCAGCTGATACACACACACACACACACACACACACACACACACACACACCCCTTTAATTTTAGTCTTTCTTTCTTTGTCTCTTATATGTAAGTTTGTAATAAATCAGTAAGTAAGTAAGGCAGGTAAAAACAAAAAGAAAGTAGAACTTAAGGTCCACAAAACAGGATTTAAGCAGAGAAACATTAAAGACAAAGTGGGTCATTATCTAAAGATAAAAGGTGTGATTCATAAGGTGGGTGTAACAGTCTTATACAAACCCGAAAAACTTAGCAGACAAATACAAATATATAATGAAAAAACTCTTAAAAACTGAGAAGACGTAATCAATAAAAAAAGTACATTTGTAGTGGGGGATTTTAATTTATTTCAGAATTTAATGGATAAAATAGAATATGGAGATATACACATCATTATAGAAATAAGTAGAAAATATGAATAGGGAAAGTCCATGTGATAAATAAATGTCTGAAAAGATGCTCAACCACATTTAGGGGAATGCATGTTAAAGTAACAATAAGAAAACATTTTTTATCCATCATACTGGCCAAAATTCAAGAATTACAACATCCAGTGCTAGGGAAAATACAGGAAGAAAATAGGTACTTTCAAAAGCTATATGGAAATGTAAATTATTACAATAATTTCTTTTTTCTTTTTTTCCTTTTTTTGAGAGACTGTGTGTGTGTATGTGTGTGCATGTGTGCATGCAAGCATGGAAATAAGGGCAAAGGGAGAGGGAGAGAGACTCTTAAAGCAGGTTCCACACCCAATGCAAAGCTTGTCATGGGGCTCAATCTCATGATCCTGAGATCATGACTGGAGCCAAAATCAAGAGTCCAATGCTTAACTGACTGAGCCACCCAGGTGCCCTTATTTTTTAAAATTATTACAATATTTAAATCATTACAATAAATTACAATATTTAGAAGGAAGTAACCTTTAAATATCTCTTAACTGTAAATGCTTATATCCTTTGACTCAGCAATTGGAATTTTGGGAATCTGTCCTATAGAAACAATAGAATTAGAATGTACTGGATATGCATATAGAAATTTTTGTTACAACATTGTGTGTAGTTGCCAAAAACAGGAAAACCTGGCTAGTCATAAGTGGGATAATTCTGAATAAAATTGAAATGCATCCGTACTATGGAATGTTACTCATTTGTTAAGGGAGTTGGCACTATCTATAAACATGGATGTATCATTGACCAGGAAAGCAAGTGGTAAAATAACATGTCCGATTTAACCCATTTCTATAAAATATATAATAGAAACCATGTGTGTGGTATATACGTATATATGAATATTCACATGATCATGAAGAAAGGTGTGGAAGCATCAATCAGGCTGTTACCAATTGTCACTTTCGGGGGGTGGGATAGAGAAGGAGATTGTGAATTTCTTTCACTTTCTATAATCATAAGATACTTTTGTCATTAATGAAAACAACAGATCAAGTAAAAATTTTATCAGAGTAAGGCATTTTCTAGGAAACATGTAGTATTTAATCAGCAACACCCTGGAAGTCTTAAGTGGTGAAGAAATGGATAGGTATGTTTTCCTGTGAATCATGGCAGCATTTGTTTTTATTCTCCGTGATCAGGATTTGTAGTGTGTTATCTTATATTTTCATTAAGGTGAGGGCTACCCATTCTTTGCTGTTAATAAGGTTCTGTTGTGATACTTCTAAACTATTTTTGCTTTTGACAGGACTGTCTTCATCAGTGGAATACAATATAATGGAGTTGGAACAAGAACTTGAAAATGTGAAGACTCTAAAGACAAAATTAGGTACTGTACATTTTTGTTCTTGACTCATGTACTGGTCTTGGATTCTTTCCAAAGACTTGCCAGTAGTCTGAAATATTAAAAAAAGTTATGAAATCTTTAGGGTGTGTTACAAGCTTCCAGTCTGTCCAAAGGTATCGATACAGACTGTTTTTTAGTTTGGGGAGAAGATAAACATGTATGTACTCCCATTTTTTTTTTTTTGTTTTGTACGTGCATAAAATGACTTTTCAGATGCTGACGTTCAGAGATGTCACTCAATTGTCTCTTCACTTGCATGATTTCTGACGAGTAATCTGTCCTCCTCATCCTTTGAATTGTCTTTTTTCTCTCTCTGCTTTTATGATGTCCTCTTTGTCACTGACTTTGAACAGTTTGATTCAGATGTGCTTTAGAGTAGTTTTCTTTATGTTTCTTATTCATTGGGTTCATTGAGTCTCTTGGATCTGGGAATTTATAGTTTTCATCTAATTTGGAACGTTTTTGGCCATTGTTTTTCCAAATGTTTTTTTCTTTTCCTCTCTGTGTCCCCCTTTCAGGGACTCCAGTTACTTGTACACTGGCCCACTGGAAGTTGCCCCCAAAACTCATGGATATTCCTTTATTTTTCAGATGTTTTTCTCTGTGTGTTTCATTTTGGATAGTTCCTCTTACTGTATCTTCATGTTCACTACTCTTTTCTTTTGAGTATCTAATCTGCATTTAATCCCATCTATTGTATTCTTCTCAAACACTGCAGTTTTTTTTATTATTGTTTTTAAATAGGCTCCACGCCCAGTGTGGAGCCCAGTGCAGGGCCTGAACCCACGACCTTGATATCAAGACCTGAGCTGAGATTGAGTCTGATGCTCAACTGACGTAACCCAGCCATCCTCAGACATTGCAGTTTTTATGTTTAAAAGTTCTGTTTAGACCTGTTTAGTCTGTGTCCTCCACTTTTAAAAAAAATATGGAATACATTATAATAACACTTATAATGTTTTTATAACTTCTGTGTTCTTGATAGATTTTGATTGATTGACTTTCCTCCTCATCATTGGGTATATTTTTGTGCTTTTATGCATGCCTAGCAATGCATAAAAAAAAAAAAACTGCTGGGTGCTGATATTTTTGTATTGCTGTAAGTGTGGAACTTTGTTGTGGGATGCAGTTAAGTTACTTGGAAGCAGTTTGATATTCTTGGGTTTTGCTCTGAAGGCTTGTCAGGCAGGGCTAGAGCAGCATGTCTCTAGGGCCAGTTGTTCCCACACTAAGGCAACAATGCTTGTGATTTACGAGGTCTCATTCTTATCTTGTGGGAGCAGGCCCTATTCTTGGCCCCTTATAATGGTTGGATACTCCTGCCCCATGGGTGGTTCTTTCTTCAGGGGTGGGTTGTTTGTTCATGTACCTGAGCTGATCTTTACCCTACTGAAAACTCAAGGATGACCCTTTGAAGATCCGTGGAGTTCTTTCTCTGAGGACTTTTGTCTGTGGTACTTTGCTCTGTATAGTCCAGCTAACTTGGTCTCTCCACACTCCCATTTTATGTCCTCAACTCAAGGAATGAGTTGGGCTTTGCTTGGGTTCCTGTGCCCTCTACTGTGGCCAGCAAACTGTCACAAGACAGTAAGCAGGAGTGAACCCAGGGTTTGCCTTGTTTGCTTCCCATCTCTCAGAGATCTTTGGCTTTCTGTGACCACACATCCAGAGTCTTGAAACTGTTTCATATGCATGTATTTTTTGTTTCCTAATTGTTTCAGCCTGGATGGAAAATTGGTCCCTATTATTACTCTGTTTTCAGAAATGAGGTTCATTGTTTTATTGTTGAAAGTTTATTCATTTTCATTTTTCTTTTTTTATTGAAGTGTAATTACCATGCAGTGTTATATAGTGATAGTTATATAGTGATTTAGCAATTCCATATATTACTCAGGGCTCATCATGGTATTTTACCCATCCTCCACCCACTTCCTCTGCCAATCACCAGTTTGTTCTCTGTATTTAAGAGTGGTTTTGTTGTTTGTCTTTTTTTACTTTGTTTTGTTTTGTTTCTTAAATCCCACATGTGAGTGAAATCATAAGGTATTTGTCTTTCTCTGACTAACTTACTTCACTTAGAATAGTACACTCTAGCTCTATCCTTGTTGTAGCAGATGGCAAGATTCCATTCTTTTTTGTGGCTGAGTAATATTCCTGTGTGTGTGTGTGTGTGTGTGTGTGTGTGTGTTAATGTATACATATCACATCTTTATCCATTCATCTGTGGATGAACACTTGGGTTATTTCCATGTCTTGACTATTGTAAATTAATGCTGCAATAAACATTGGGGTGCATATGTCTTTTTGAATTAGTGTTTTTGTTTTCTTTGGGTACCCAGTATTGGAATTACTGGATTGTTTGGTAATTCTATTTTTAATTTTTTGAGGAACCTCCATAGTGTTTTCCATGGTGGCTGCACCAGTTTGTATTCCCACCAACAGTGTACGAGGGGTCCTTTTTCTCTACATCTTTGCCAACACTTGCTTTTTCTTGTGTTACTGTTTTTAGTTATTCTGACAGGTATAAGGTGATATCTTATTATGGTTTTTATTTGCATTTCCCTGATGAATAGTGATGTTGAGCATCTTTTCATGTGTTTGTTGGACATCTGGATGTCTTCTTTGGAAAAGAAGTCGTCTTTTCATTTTTAATTTGGTGCTGGGTTGTATAAGTTCTTAATATATTTTGGATATTAACCCTTTAGTGGATATATCATTTGCAAATGCCTTCTCCCATTCTATAGGTTGCTCTCATTTTCATTTTTGTAAACAACATCATATTGTCTGAAGTTACTTTATTCATTCTGCTGTTGGTGGATATTTGATGTGTTTCTCTTTTGTTATTTTGAATAATATTGGTATAAACATTGTTCTTCATACCTCTTGGTACACATGTTTTTTCATGGTACATACCTGGAAGTGGAATTATAGGATCATTGAGTATGTGAATACATAGCTTTCTAAAATAATGCCAAATTGTTTTCCCAGGTAGTTGTATTGTTTTGCATTTGTTTTAGGCATGAGTAAGACTTCCTGTTGCTCAGCATCTTTGTCAACAATTGACATTGTTGGACTCTACATTTTTACCAGTTTAGTGGTTGTGAAGTGGTTTTCACTGGTGTTTTAATTTATATGTCCCTGATTTGTGTTTCCAGTGTTCATTTAGCTTCTGCTTGAAAAACATCTGCTAGCGTTTCATTAGTGATGGTTTGTTGGCAACGGATTCTCTAGTTTTTGTTACCTGAAAACATTTTTACTTGCCTTCTCATTGGTAGTACAGTTTTACAGAATTTAGAATTATTATTTGGTAGTTTTCAACATTGAAAAAATGTCTTTCTAGTGTCTTCTGGTTTCTGGTTAAAAGTTGTATTGTTGCCCTTTTGAAAGCTTTTAAGATTTTCTTTTTGTCTTTGTTTAGTAGTTCTACCCTGATGTGCTCAGGTTTGGTTTTCTTTGTGTTTATTCTTCTGAGATCTGTGGCGCTTCATCAGTGTGTGGCCTAATGTTTTTTACCCATTTGGGGACTTGCTGGCCATCGTCTCATCAAATGCTGCTTCTGCTCCTTTTCTTTTAGTTCCTTTGACCTTAGCTGCACATGTGCTAGACTTTTCACTCCTGTATTGTTTTCTGAGTTTCCCCTCCTTTGTCACATTCTTTGATCTGTGATATTTTCTACTGATGTGTCTTCCATTTCAGTGTCTTTTCAGCTGTGTCATAACTATTGCTAAATTATCTCTTGAAGTCTTAATTTTAGTTACAGTATTTTTCAGTTCTAGAATTTTCATTCAGATTCAAATTATGACATTTGCCATCTTGTCACTTACCTTATTGAACATATTAATCAGTTATTTTAAGACCTCTTTCTGATAAGTTCAATATCTGGATAAACTGAGTCTGTTTCTATTATCTTTTTTCTTTGTCCTGTCTCCAGGGAACATTTGATTGAGTGTCAGGCATTTCTTATACAAAATAAAAACTCTGGATAATGTTTTCTTCTTGAGAGGATTTACTTTTTCTTCTGGTAGGCATTTAGAGTAGGGGCAAATCCTCTCATCTGTCTGGGCTGGTGATAGCTCCAGAGTGGGTTTTGGTCTTCATGAGAGCCGGTCGATTTGCAGTTTGGCCTTGCTCTTAGTGTATAGCTTTCCTAAGTGAAAGCCTGGGTGTTTTGTTGTTGACTATGATACCATCTTCCTTATGTACCCTGAACTTTAGTTTTTATCTCAGGAAGTGTGAGTCTGACAGAAGCTTTGCCCCTTCTCTTTTGCTGCACCTTCTCGTCACTTTCTCAGCCTGCTGGCCATTGGTGCCTTGCAGGGCAAGAGGCTGAATGTTAGGCTCCCTTCTTTTTTCTTTCCTTTTCTCTGTGATCATAGCCTCTCAAATTTTGGCTGCCTTGGTAGCCCCACACTCCAGTTTTTGTTTTCCTGATGCTGTTGAGTTTGCTGAAAGCATTGCTTTAGCATCATTTTCTTTCACCCACTGATATTTGCTTGATTTCTCAGCTTCGTGGGGCCATGTCATTTTTTTGTTGGAAAACTCTGAGGGAAAGATAGTGCAAATGTGAGGGCTCACATCAATCCATTTCACAGAGTATTGACCTCACAGTTTTGTTGTGGTAGCTCTGTGATTCCTTCGTGTATTTTTTTTTCTTAGTTAAGTTTGGTTTGTTTTTACCAGTTGTTAATAGCATGAGGATTGGTGTGTGAATCAGGTAGATCACTGTAGCCAGAAGTTTGCTTTCACTTTTAGAAAACTGGAGGTATTTATCTTTGGATTAAAGGGGATTTTTACTCATGTTAACTTTATTCACTCAAATCTGTATCAATATGTAAATCTACATCAAATACGAATATTTCTATATTTTCATAGTAAACCGTGTATTAACAGTACATTTCGTTAGCAACTGAGATGTCTTTACAGAGCTAAAATGTAAGCATCATAGGTTGAGCTATTTAATATAGCAAAGTGATTTTAAAACTCTGATTTTTATAGTTTTTGGAGGAAAATTAAAAATAATTTATGTTTGTGAAAAAGAAATTATATAAAAATAATACATACTGGTTATAGCAGTAAGGAATGAAAATATGGGTCTGGAGAGAATTTTTGGAAATCTTTTGTTGTATTTTGTTTTTTTTCCTAATAGAGAGGCGAAAAAAAGCTTCAGCATGGGAAAGAAATTTGGTGTATCCTGCTGTTATGGTTCTCCTTCTTATTGAGACAGTAAGAATTTATTTGCCTAGTCAAATAAAGCAAATTATTTTTTATTTACTTTTGATATTTGAGTATGGCAACTCCCTCAGCTACATGGTTTCAAGTAAACTGGTTTTCTATCAACAGGATTAAAATCCATCTATACTTTTATTTGGAAAAACTCAATAAAGCAAAAATGGAAATTAATGGCAATTTTTAAAAAGTTCTTAAGATTAACTATTTCCTCATGAAAGCAGGACATTTACTCTTTTATGCCATTTAGAATTAAGAGACAAGGTATTGCAGATATCTTGCTTCAGACTATGATGAGATGTGAAAATTATATTATCAAATTAGTTCTAATAACATTTTAACCATTTTTTAAATCTGTGGAGTTGTGGGTTTCCAATTGGGAATCAGTCAGTAACTGGATCTATATTATTAGCTTTAGTCACAAGCTTTGACATTGTAATAATTTGCAGAGTTTTTAGAGTTTATTCTGAAGTTTTTGCAGATAGTTTAATTACTTTCGGTTTGTTTGTGTGTAGAATTTTGGTCTTCTCCTCTGTTCTGAAGTGTATATTTGATTGATAACTTAGATTTTAATACATGTGTACTCACAAAATATCTGTGAAATTCAGAACTGATAATCATTTTTTGTGTTGTAGTCCATCTCGGTCCTCTTGGTGGCTTGTAATATTCTTTGCCTGTTGGTTGATGAAACAGCCATGCCAAAGGGAACAAGGGTAAAGTGCTTTAAATGTCTTTCTTTTGCAAAAGTGTTCTGTGTATATACCCAGAGTGTTTCAAATAAGTAATTTAAAACATCACCTTTCTGCACCTATGTTTCAGGTTGTATGAATTTCTTTATGTAAAGAGCCTTTGTAAACAGTGTTTGTGAACTATGACTTTTGTTTCTAATTTCTTACTTTTGGTTGGCCAGCCCTTTTACCAAATATCAGAGTTTCCTTTTAGATTTTGTATCACAGTTTATTTTAGTTTTACTAAAGTTCATATTTGTAATTCTTTAAGAAAATGTATACTCTGTGAAATAGTGATGTGGAAGGAGTTTATTAGATGGATTCATAGTGTTTGCAAAAGATGCTGATCTGTGGTTGGTAGGGACTTATGTTTCAGAAGAGTCACACATTTTATGAATCTGAGTCAAATGTTTAGTTACTGGAGGAGAGTCAGATGTACATCTTTTCATGAATTTGTTTTCTCTCTCGTTTAAAAGATGATTCTATTAAATTCTATCTTTTAGCCTATTTAAATATATTCTCCATATAGAAGGTAGTTATCACTAAAGATTCATTTTTGGCATACTTCTAGGAGTCTCTGTAAACTTTTGATTGCTTAAAGTAGCATTTACATCCTAACATTTTCTTAAATTTTTCTAAGTCAGTAGCATTCTTATTCCCCATAGGAAAGGACTTCAAAACTCTTCCAGACTTCTAGTGCCGCTTGTCTCTGTGAACCAGAGGATGTATACCTTTCCTCTCATAGAAATAAGCCAACATCAACCTAAATTTCTTCCCTTTAGTCCAAGACAGAGATACCCTGTTCTTTCAAAGCTAATTTTTTTTCAGCCATATTCTCCAGTTAGATCCTGCCCTCCTCTAACTTTTGCGGACATTCTGCCTTCTGTTACTGCCCATTGTCTAGCCTGCCAACATGCTTTCCAGGTGCTTCACTCCATAAACAAACAGTAACACTAAACAGTACTTCATCTGCAGCCTGGTCTTAATCTTTTGTTTAGACCCAAATTCATTGATAGAGCAGGACGTTATCTACTGTGTTGGCTTCTATTCACTTTGTAACCCTCTTTTATACATTGCACACTATGTAAGGCCCAAGCCCCCATAGTACATTTTTGTACCATCCCCTTAGTGTATCATAGAGAGGAACTTATACCTGGTAGGGCCTATGCATGATTGTGTAAATAAATCAGATCATCTTAATTCTGTCTGGAGGACTTCTCTTGAGATAGGGAATATTTCCAAAATGTTTTTCACCCAGCCAATAAGCTTTCTATTAGCATTATTCATTTCTTTGTCAAAAGATTGACAAAAAGTTGATAGTTCTTTGACTTGTTTATATATATGAAATTTCCATGAGTATTCTTACTTCTTTATGCCAAAATTAGAATGTATATATGATATGTATGATATTATTGGTTTATTTTTTACTAACCTGACTATACATTCTTAATTTTCCTGGTATTTTTGTTTGATACAATTAAAGCTGATAGTAGAACAGTAGTTCATATTTGAATACTTCCTTTAACTGGTAAACTTTGAAAATATTTTTCCTACTTTAGTAAGAAATTATTTTTTTGCCTGTTCGGTCTCATTAATAAATACTGGTTTTTCTGCTTGTTTTCTTAAATTCTAGATAAAGATAGGTTTTGACAATAGGTATAATGTTTTGGAAAAATGTGTAGTGTTACCCTAAAAAAAAATCTGTGTTAATTAAGTTATATCTTTTAAAAACGTCTGAATTCCCAAGGAAGATTTGGGGAAACAACTTTCAACTGTAGAAATAGGATATGCACATTCACTTTCTTTCTATGCTTAGCCTATTTTGATATATTTTAATTGTATAATTTTTATATGTTGTCGTAGGGTTTATTTAAATAATTATATATTCTAATCCTGTGGTACTGTTTTAAAAAAAATTTCTTCCATAATATTCAGGACTTTTAACAAGTATAATATCATTTTGATAAGTAAATTACATTTGAGGTAAATCGGAGATGTTTTGAGCTTGTTAAAATTATTAACATGTGCTTGCATTAGTTGATGAACGCAATCTAATGTCATGTTTTATTGTCCTTAGAAAATCTAGATGTTATTCTAGGGTATTAAACATTCCTAATTCCTGTATTTATGAAACAGTTTTAGGGAAAGCAAATGTATAGTGTCCTTGAATTCTGAAAAGCGATTTTTCCCCCCCCAGGGTCCTGGAATAGGAAATGCTTCTCTTTCTGCTTTTGGTTTTGTGGGAGCTGCACTTGAAATCATTTTGATTTTGTATCCTTTCTTATAAACATTGTTTAACAAATTTTCTGTTTAGTTTTCTGGAACAGTGGTAATTTACTAAGACACTTTCCTAGAAGGGAAAACAAATCAGTCTTCCTCAAGCACACCAAGTGGCTTTTTGTTTTGTTTTTCTTTTGGACCTTAAGAGTTTCTGGAGACTACTGAGAACTTAAGGAAACTTGCATTCTTGGGAGAGTTTTTTCCTTGATTCTCACAGCTATCTTATGGTGTCCTCTGTTGTCGGTTTCTATAGCCTCCGATTTTTTGGAAATTTTATTCCCAAGAAGGATGACACAACTATGACAAAGGTAAGGTGAAGTCTTAGGTGGCTGTGCTTCCCTTTTGCGTTCCAAGGCAAAGGAGCTGTTTTATTTTGTAATCGCCCTGAATGGTTCATTTGCGGTGATAGGTATTTGTTTGTAAATTGCATAAACACAAACTGAAAGATTTTCAAAATGCTGAATGAGTGGGAAAAGGATGTGCTGCTCTGTTTAATTTGGATGGCATCCATTCACTTGTAAATGCATACAACTGCAGGGCTTGTTAACCAGCTACAGAAGGCTAATGAAAGGACTCTTTCTCCTCTAAAGAAAACGTATTGCTAATGAGTAACTTTGATTGTGCAAACTGTACTTCAGGGAGCTTGTTTGAAATCTGGAAGAACTTAGTTGCTACAAGTAGTAGAGACAAAGTATTTCAAATTTGAATAATTAAAGCAAGACGGAAGAGTTCTATTCAGACACATTTTGTAGTCTGAGGCTAATTTGACTTCCTACAATGTGTCATTGGCTTTGGAATAACAAAGACTGTTACCTTATATAGTGACTGCATCTTTTTTAAAATATTCCCACAGGCTGACCATGAAGAATAAGTAATAAGAGCTGCTGGTTTCTTTTCTTTTTATTACATATCATATATTTTCAACCTATCTTAAAAAGGAAAAGTTATTTTATGTACTTTATTTACCTATCTATAGAATGCTATGACTTGTTGAGATACTTAGCATCTAGTTTAAGTGATCATCAGCATTAATCAGTATTTTCAGCTCCTTTTATTTAATATGAAAGAATAAGCATAGGTCACATTGGAAATGAATTATTAGAATTTAGGGGTTTTAGATTTCTAGCTTTTTGGTGTTAAATCTTATAATAGTTGAACGTATTAGAAGTAGATATTATATATCTTGAGCAGTAGTCTGGCTTTAAAAATATAGTCAGAAGTATTAAATGTATTCATTCTATTTTACTTGACAGGCAAACCTTTTTAAAATTGGCAACCTCAATCAATAATGTAAAGTGCATTGTCTGAGGTGTAATTTAAATGTTCTATAACTTTATATTTGTGCCAGCTACTGTAAATACCTTCTAGAACTTTACAGATGTAACTTTAAATATTTGTAGAAAACGTTTCTTAGTCTCTTTAAATTCTGTACTGAGTAATATCATTAAGAAGTTAGCAAAGTACAGTACAATAGTACAAGGTAAGTAAAATGTGCAGTAAGTTCCCAGAATGTGAGTAGATTGATTGCATTTGTCATTCTAATGTCTGACTGCCCAATATTCTTTGTGATCCCCACACAGATCATTGGGAATTGTGTGTCCATCTTGGTCTTGAGCTCTGCACTCCCTGTGATGTCAAGAACACTGGGTAAGTTTACAGGAGAAATGTCCATTTAAAGTCCATACCTTGTTAACATATCTTTCTTAAACTTCTGCCTTAACTTTTAGTTTTTGCACTTTTTCAAAAAGATCATCCTTTGAAATACAGTATTTCCTTTCACATTATTTTATAACTTCTATACTTCATTTATGTAGAGAACCATACCAAAACAAGTACTTGTATCAAATAAAGACCATTTATTTTTTTAAATACTTAAAAATGTCCCTCCAAACAGTGGACAGTTTTTTCCACTGACTAGTTAAGCTTTTGAGTTCTCTGGTGAGAAAACTGTGATATTAAAAAAAATGTTTAATGTCTAGAAAGTATTAAACTAATTTTTCTTATATGAGATGTGTTTTAAAACTTATAATTTAGCATGTGGTGTAAAAAATTGAAAATGTATAAAACTTTTTTAAACTGCTTCATGTCCATGAAATAGACTTGAAAACATGCGAGCATGTGCAGATTTCAAGGGCGTCCTTTGGTTGTTGAATTTTTTTCTTGCCTGTCATTTATATAGTTTTCTTAATTTTTCAATTTACAGGAACGTTGATCATCTTTTAAAACTAGTACATTTCTACGTTGTCATTGAAATAGTTGAACAAATCTTCACTTGGCCTTCTTATCTTTTATAAAGCATGTTGCAGGCTGTGATCTCACTTCTTGGCTAAATATTATTTCAGACAAAAGTTTCCGTTAGGCAGTTCTGTTTGGTTTTCTGGACCTAGGTTTCCACTTAAGAGTGTTCACAAATGATTAGAAGAATCCCATCATTCAACCTTCGCAACTTGCTCATAACAAAAATTACTAGTCGCTTTGAGTTGCTTTTGTTTACCTCTTCTTTTGCTCCGTTGTTGATTCAAGACTCCTGGCCAGCAGGGAGGCAGGCTGCAAGAGGGAAATAGAGGCTTTATGGTTATCTGCGCAATGCTTACCGAGAATTTCATGTTTTAGTAAGAAGTGAAATCTAAGTATAAATGTAAAGAGACCACTGTTCCACAGACTAATACAAAGCTTATTTACTTAGTGGTCTTACCTCTTTTGTGTTTGCCTTATAGGACTTGTTATTGTTTTGACATCTGCTTATGGTGCGCTAATCTTGAAAATGCCAAAAGTATGCACTTCAGTAACTTCATTTGTAACTAAGTGATATCATTTGTTTTATGACAGTCCAACAATAATTTCTGTGATATTATAGCCACCCTACCATTTAGTCATTTATAAAACTTACTGTGATCTGTTATTTAAGATTTATTGTTAATAGTGATATATACTGATTTTATGGAAGAAAATTGCATGGTAGGTATGCTTTTAATACAAAGAAAACAAATTAATGACAAAATTTGCTTTTTGAAGATCAACAAATTAAATTCCTGAGTAGTTTGCCATAGAGATAACTAAAAAGAAGAAAAAGAAAGATGGGACAATTAGAATGCAGCTAACAAACGCCTGGACCCAGCTGTCCAAACAGGATTAATGGAGCGCATTAGGGTACAGTGAGTCATGTGGCGCTTTGCAAAATATCAACACGCACTGCATTACAGGTTATGCCCAGTGGCACTGAATAGATGAAAAGAAGTAAATACGTTAAACAGATTCATGGAGGCTTTTCACAGTATTAAAAAAGCAAATTTCTGGACTAAAAGAAGCAGCTTTATTTTAGTATTATGGGAAATGCAAACTAGAGAGTTACTTTGTAATTCCTCTATTAACCCTTTAGGACTGAGCCTTTGATTTTTAAGAAGATAAAATGTGGAGAATTGTCATGAATGTTATCCTGGTGTATAACAGGGTTTTGATTTACCAGCTGAAAAGCTCATAAGCCTAGAATAGAGGATGTGTTTCACAACCACATTCCAAGCTGTGAAAGTTTTCACTCTTTTTCTTTGCCTCTCCCAAGGAAAGCCTGACCCTTAGGATGCTCTCATCTGCCCCTGGGAATCCCATGAGCAGCACCCCATCACTTACAGTGAAATAAGAAATGAAATAGCAAGGAAAAATCCAACATTACCTGTATATGAGCAGCTTTTCTCTTATTTCAGCAATTTGTCAGTGATAGTTTTTACTTTAATTGTAAATCGAAAATACATTGAGTCCTGCATAAAATAATTAATTTGGTGATATTTTTGCTTCAAAAATGAAAGTGTTATATGAATTTTATGGTTTTTGGCTTTTTAATTTGCTGGCTGGTGTTATTGGTTCAATGGAGGCATCATTAAACTCTAGCTTTAGACTTCAGTGCCTGGTGTGATAGGACACATTCATTAAAGAATTCCTTTGATCAGCTTCTTATATTTGAATACGGAAAAATTTGTTCTAATTGACAAATTGCCACAGAGTAGATTTTTTAAGCATATCACTTGACAACTAAGAATTAAGTTGTGAGGATGATTTTGGCCATGTATTTTTGGCTAAATATAATTAATATAAATGATGGTTTTGTTGTCTGTAGGAAACAAAGAATCTGAGCTTAACATTTCTTATTCACACTCTTTAAAGCCCTTTAAAAAAGTAATGCCATGTCAGTGCATATGATTTCCAAAACATTGCTTTGCTGCCTATTTAGACGTTAGTTTTGAAGAATCCAGCATTTTGGGGGACTTGATGTCTGTTATGTGCAGTAAACAGTTTACTGTTTGCTTTGACCCTGACTAGAGGAGGTGGCTGGCAAACAAGGTGAAAATAGAACAGGACCAAGCCTAAGGAACTCTCTGTAGGTGCCCAAACTTTTCTGCAATAAAATATTTTAAAAGCAGCAATGAATTCTGTAAGAACAGATTTTGTAAGATTGCTGACATGCTCTTTATTATGCTTAATCAAGAAACTACTGAGAGATGGACCTTTTTTCACATTGTTACTTGCAATCTCCTTTAACAGGGAAAATTTTTCTCAAATGTAACCAACAGACTTTGCAATACTGTTACTAATTTCTTTTTTTAAAATTGTTTTTATAGTTATTCGGCTATCCTGAAGCTCTTTCTGTAACTTGTAAATTATACAGGCCCAGATGCAGAGTTTTATTTTTTTTATTTTTATTTTTTTAAAGATTTTATTTATTCATTTGAGAGAGAGAGAATGAGAGAGAGCACAAGAGGGAAGAGGGTCAGAGGGAGAAGCAGACTCCCCGCTGAGCAGGGAGCCCGATGCGGGACTCGATCCCGGGACTCCAGGATCGTGACCTGAGCCGAAGGCAGTCGCTTAACCAACTGAGCCACCCAGGTGCCCCCAGATGCAGAGTTTTAAAAGGAAATGTACTTACGATACTAAAACAAGAACATTTACCCCTTTGAATCACCTTGAATTTATTTTTTAGTATTTCCGTGTATTTCTCTGGGTCCCATCTAGTCCCTCATCTTGCAGGAGATAAAGTGGGATTACTCTTTTATTCCTTGATGAAGGGAGCCTGTTTAAAAACTCGTCCATCTTGGAGAGGTCTTGATTTCGGGTTTCATAAATATACTATTAATCTTTACCCTGGGTCAATTCTCTTCAATTCTCAGTGTAAACAAAAGTGAATGATGCTTAGAAATGACAAATGCAAAGTAGGAAGTATAAATCATAATATGTATTCCTAACTATGACTTTGATTAAAAATAATTTTGAACACCTTCTTGACAAATTCTCTATGACTTATGTTCAGTTATGTTGCAGAGAGGGAGTGGCACTAATTGATTTTTTGTTGATTACTATTGTTCTTATATCTGAACAATAAATTTGTATATCTAGTTATGATTTTTAATAATAAAGAGAAAGTTATTGTGTGTCAGATGTCTAAAAGTTAAGAGACTAACTAATGCTTAATCCTTAAATGCTCTTTATTCCCAGTATCTGCTTGGTATATTCTTCTGGTGCCGCTCTTATTTCAGGGAACATAGTCCTGTCTGAGAAAATGTCATGTTGGCCACACGTTACCTTACCTACATAATAGAGCCATCTGCTGACTTACATTCACATATTTTAAAATTTTAGTTTGTTAATAACATATTTTTATGTGAAAATAATTCTAGTTAGGATAATTTGGCTAGAAGGAGGCTTAAGATGTAATCCTTAAAATGTTATAATTAAAAACCAGACAGTAAGCTATAATAAGGGTCTACTTTGTACTAAGACAAAAGGCCTCTAGCCTGGCTGAGGGTACTTCATAGTGCACCTGCACATAGTTCTGAGGCCAGTGAGTATATTATCTCCTTATTTGTAGATTTTATTTTAAAATTAATTTTAATTAATTATATAGGTATAGACATGAAGAAATTCTCCTTATAAAGAATACTAAAATTAGAGATCAGGCTACCGTTCCTTGTGACCGCCAGTTTTACTCCCAGTCCCCTCTTCAGAGTATCCAGGTCCTCAGACCCTCTTCTGTGCCTAAGTAGACCTCCCCGGTGCCTCTGCAGGAGACGTGAAATCCTCACCTGGGGCTACCGGGAAGCTGACTCTGGTCGTCGTTCGTGTTCCTTCTGTTGGCTCCTGACCTCAGTGTGCTGTCTAGGAGGGGCTGACATCATCTCCTCTACTGGAACTCAAGTCATCTGAGGATGAATTTCAAACCCCCAAAATTACCTCTTTCCTTTCAGGTCACCAGTGACCTCTTAATTGTCCCATCTTGTGGATTCTGTTTTGTCCCAGTTGCTCCATGGCATTTGCTGTTTGTAATCCCACTTCCCATATCTCTTCTTTCTTTATTTCTGGTCCCCATTCCCGTGTCTTTCTTGTCCTTCGGCCATCCCGTAACTGTCTGCCTTACCGCTCCTCCGCTGCACCTGCACTTGTCCCCAGAGCCAGACTGCCAAGCCAGCACGCACCCCTGAGTGAGGAACAGGCAGTCCCACCGCTGGGCTCCGTTGTGGGTGCCGTCCCACACCGGCCGTCCCTACAGCAGCACCCACACTTGTGTGTGTCTGCCCCCCGCCCTCTCACTGCCCTCCTCTCGCCTTGCTCTTCCTCCTCTGTACCCCAGTCCTCCGCCGCTTCCTGTGGGACGGGCCGGA